ATGTGTGAAAATGTATAGGGCCCCATTCCTATATTTTGCCTGGGGCCCACAATTCACTAAATCCGCCCCTGCCACTGACAACAAAGTTTTCCTTCTGAATTAGCATAACTCTACAAGTTTTATACTTAATAAAATCTTTAAAAACAAATGACATTAGTTATACTTTAATTTCCTTCAATAAAAAGGAAATTGAGTAAGACGGTGTAAAAGGTGTGTGGACGTGGATTAGTAATCTGGCCCCTTGGTATAAAGGAGAAAAAATGCTGGCCCTCGTCACTATCAAAGTTGCCCATCCCTGATGTACGCTATTAATTTATTAGCCAGGCTGAATAATTAAGATTTGGTCCAGTCTTATTTTTGTATTATTTACATGCTAATAATATATGTAGCAGTTATTTTTATATTTTCAGTTTATTTTAATTTTAATTTGCTTTAGTAAATTTGCTATGTGCTGTTTTCCTTTTTATTATTTTTAGTTTTTTTATGTTTTTATTGGCTTTAATTAATTTTTTTATTTCAGTTATTGTAAGTTTACTTCTATTTAAACTTCTATTTGTAAATTTTAGTTAAAGTTTTTCAATTATATTTTTGTTTTATTTTATTTCAGCTTTATTTACTAATGAAAACAATTAATAATAGTCTTAGTTAACGTAACATGTGACAGCCTTGTCAATGGATAACAAACATTTCCAGTTCCTAAATATCTTAAGTGAATTTCCAGTAAATATGATATAAGATAAATGTATACTCATTAACTCTTTCCCCGCCAGCATTTTTGAAAAAAGTTGCCAGCCACCGCCAGCGATTTTGATGATTTTCACTAATATTTGATGTATAATGATGTATAAAAAGTATATTTTGCTGTATGAATATTTGAATATGAAATACGCCAAAATAAAGATCAGAGCCTCTACTTTTAAACAAAAAAACATTTTTATTCAAGCTCAAAATTCTTTTTTTATCAACACTTTAATATAGTTAGGTTTCATAAAAAAATGCATTATTTTGAGCAAAAAGGTGAGAAAATCACATTATCAAAAACAACATCTGGATAATATTCAGTACGATTATCAAAGCATAAATCCAGTAAATCGCTTCCATCAACACCTCCAAAGCTTGCACAGACATATACCACTTCCTGGATCAACATTTTACTCCGTCGTTCAGAGGATGTGTAATAGCGCCCCCGAGTGTATAACAGTGAAAACACGGAAAGCCGTAAAAACTCGTCTTTGGCGGGGAAGCATTTTCTTGTAAAAGACGAGATAACTCGCCAATGGCGGGGAAAGAGGTAAAGGCACAATATGTAATTTTCGCCACTAGAGGGCATGTATTCAAAACAAACAAAGAATTAACGGCGTAGTTTGATGACGCCGTGACTGAGTGTGGAATCATGGGAGTTGTCGTCTTCATCCCCACAGCCGACACGGTCCGTGTCACTAGTTAAAATTGCTTATTTCTCTGGATTTAAACATTCTTCGAAACATTTGGGATAATGTAAGTACACAAGTCAGCAAAATATATAACTCTGTTCTATTGGTTTTTGGATATTTTATTTAAAAAAATCTTACATATTTGCATTATATACTGAATTTATTTGCAATATATATCAGTCATCCACTAGGCATATATTGTTTTTTTTCTCTCTGTCTCTCATGCAGGTATGCTAATGTAGCATGTGAGTTGTTGACATGCGATGTGTCCCTCATCAACGATAAAGTTGGTGGGGACGAGTCTCTGCTGAACACGCTCTATAGTTTCCTAGAGCAGACGTCACCGCTGAACCCTCTACTGGCCTCCTTCTTCAGTAAGACCTTCGGGAACCTCATCACCCGCAAAACAGAGCAGGTACGCAAACGTGTCTGTTTTTTCATGTGAAAATATTTGATTTGTTTCTGCATGAATCTTTCATTCTCCTCTGTTCATTCACTTTATTTATCAGGTGATCGGTTTCCTAAAGAAGAAGGAGGATTTTATAGGGCAGGTGTTGAAACACTTGGACACGTCGGCCATGATGGATCTAGTGCTGCGTCTCATTAGCAGCGTGGAGCCCACCTGTCTCAGACAGGAAGTGCTTACTGTGAGTGCACACACGACCTACTGATTCATTTATAGGTGTTTCTACAATGGACACTTCAGCTCTGTGAAAAATAAACTCTCTTACACTCTCACAGTTTGATTTGTCTACTAACAATGTCCAGTATTCATCACAGAAAAATTCTGTACATTTTTTATTTTTTTGTGAACGTTTTAATGCTTTCAGCACATCTCATACAATAAAATGTGCTGTAATTGTACTGTGGTGGAAATCACAGTGTTGGAAATGCCCCGTTAAGCATTATTTAGGCTATTTTATTAGTGTTTTATATGCTAAATAGACACAATTAAATCATATTACACTACCATTCAAAAGTTTGGGGTCTGTAAGATTTTTTTCAAATGTTTTTGAAAGAAGTCTCTTATGCTCACCAAGGCTGCATTTATTTGATCAAAAATTACAGTAAAACAGTAATATTGTGAAATATTATTTCAATCTAAATTAACTATTTTCTGTTGTAATATATTTTGAAATGTAATTTATTCCTGTGATGTAAAGCTGAATTGTCAGCATCATTACTCCAGTCTTCAGTGTCACGTTATCCTTCAGAAATCATTCTAATATACTGATTTGCTGCTCAAGAAACATTTATTATTATTATGAGTGTTGAAGACAGTTGTGCTGCTTCATATGTTTGTGGAAATTGATACATTTTATTTTTCTGGACTCTTTGATGAATAGAAAGTTCAAAAGAACAGCATTTATTTGAAATCAAAATCTTTTGTAACATTATAAGTAACTCTGTCACTTTTGATCATTTTAATTCTTAATAAGAATAAAAAAAATATATATTTAAAGGCTTTTTTGATTATTTCAGTTCTTATAAATCTGTATATCTGAATATGAATAATATATGATCTTATATAATATAATTATAATTCATCTCATCATATATAATACAATTATATAATATAAATATGTTTGCTGAATTTATATTTAAAGTGTGGAAAGAGGAAAAACAATCAAATCTGTAGTTGTTTAGATTAAGGTATTCTAAAAGTTTCCAAGACAATTTTAATGTGACCTTCATAAAACAAAAAGAAAAAATGTAAACCCTGAGACATAAAAGTGCTCAAAACTAAAGAAACACCTCTATCTGTGTGTGTATTTGTTTTGATATTTCATGTCCTCTGTTTTCAGTGGCTGAATGAAGAGAGGCTGATCCAGAGACTCATTGAGCTGATACACCCTCACAGTGACAGTGAGGTCAGTCACTACAGTTTCACATTTTCTGCAGAACGAACTACACAACAAACACAACGTTTAATACTTGCAGTGTAGCATTTGTTCAAAGCTCTTACTAGGTATGATGATTAGTAATAGTGATGTTTTTTTGATGTTGGTACTGAAAAAGTCCTTGTGAAACCAAAACATTTGATTCCATCTCTCAAATATATATTAATACATATAAAAGAAGACATGTATTCATAAATGTGTTTTTGTGTTCACAGAGGCAGTCAAACGCATCTCAGACGCTGTGTGACATCATCTGTCTGAGCAGAGATCAGGCCAGTGTGTTGCAGGAGACGTCAGAGACCGACCCTCTGCTCACAACACTAGAGCTGTGAGTGTGTGTGTGTGTGTGTGTGTCAACACTTCCACTGAAAACTAGAGGTTTGCGCGCGACTGTTTTTTTACAACACAATAGGGAAAAAGTGTCGCAGAGAGGAAAATAAAAATAAAAATGTAGGTTGTACAAAAATAACCTATTAGCTATTTTTATTCGTCTTGTCAAAATACTAAATCCGTTTGACATTTTTCTGTTAACACAGTAGGAAAAGTGTCGCAGAGAAAAATAAATACGACATCTTTCATTTAAAATTATAGGCTAAGCAAAATATAAACAAACCGGGTTGAACGTCCTTCAAGGACAGCGCATCCACACTTTGCTCCATCCTTATTCTGCTCTGTCACTCATCGACAACCTGCCTGTTCTGTCTGAGGGCCGTATATTTACCACAGGTACAGCCTGCTCTGAGCATCGTTATGCACATGCTGCACACAAACCATGCAAATAAAACGCGTGACGTTTAAAGCATGCGTGCAGCGCGTGCATCCTGAGCGCAAGCTGTACCGGTGGTCAATAAGAATAAAGCGCAGATATGCTGTTCTAAATGGACGTCGGGAATGGGATATTGTTAGACCACCCGCTCCCATTCAAATTACACCAGAGTTACCGACCGCTACCACATTTTATTCGGGAATTTAAATTAAATTTAAATTGCGCAAAAAATTAGGTCGGGTAGAGCCGTGGAATGCAGACTTCTACTGCAAACTGTGTTTGGTCACCTTTCATGCCAGCTAGATGGTGTCTTGCTGTCAAAGTGTGCAGTTTTCTGTCAAAATAAGCCGCAATGTGGCCCAGACTTTATCTAGGAATAGTTCAGAAATAGTTCACCCAAAAATAAACATTTTAGCTGAAAATGTACTCCCCCCTCAGGCCTTCCAAGATGTAGATGAGTTTGTTTCTTCATCAGAATAGATTTGGAGAGATTTAGCATTCCAGTGGATGCTCTGCAGTGAATGGGTGCCGTCAGAATGAGAGTCCAAACAGCTGATAAAAACATCACAATAATCCACAAGTAATCCACATCTCTTGTCTCATGAAACATCAAAATTCACCAACGTATTTGTTTAAACATGTTTTGGACTCTTTTCGCTTGTAAACTGTGCTGTTTTGTGCTTATTTTTCTCCTGATTCAGACGAGATGACGTTTTCACTGAAGAAAGCAGTATTATGAATAGAGCACTTGTAGTTTACCTGGAAGTGATGGTTTGAAATTAAAAACATCTTAATAATGGATTTGTTTATTACAAACATGCAGCTTTTTACTTCCCAATATGTTAATTGATGGACTGGAGATGTGTGGATTATTGTGGTGTTTTTATCAGCTGTTGGAACTCTCATTCTGACGGCACCCATTCACTGCAGAGGATCCATTGGTGAGCAAGTGATGGAATGCTAAATCCAGCTGCTGTGTGTGTGTTTCAGACAGCAGAGCATTGAGGTCCTATTGAAGAACATGTTTGAAGGGGAAAAGAGTGAAGTGTGCATTGTCAATGGAACTCAAGTTTTACTCACACTGTTGGAAACGCGTAGACCATGGTGAGTAACACACACATATTTCATCACACACACTCGCATTCACTGTTACTAAAGTGTGTGTGTTTGTATGTAACAGTGTTGAGCAGGTGATTGACCCGTGCTCTCAGGGATTGGAAAAGACTTACACTGTAAACAACAGCATTTTAATGGGCATCCAAACACATCTAAAGCACTTTCACCACCTTCTGTTAAACCCACCCAAGGTTGGTCTGCTCATCCAGTTTTATCACAAGTCTTAAAAACAAAATGAAATCACAGAAAGATGGCACACAGTGTTAATGTGTTTCTGACTCTGTCCGTGTTTAGAAATCTGTGATGTTGACCACGATGGGCATTCTGGAGGAACCGTTTGGCAACGCACGACTGCATGGGTCCAGACTGATGGCGGCTCTCTTGTACACCAGAGCTCCCAGAATCCACCACGAACTCTGCCAACTGAACATGATCAACCTGCTGCTGGTATTAGTCATTCTTAGTCTAATTGACAAATAAATAAAATGTTTTATTGTATTTATTTTTTTTTTTAGATTCCGTTTACATTTTTAGATTTTACATTTTGATCTTTGTAAATAATAACACATTTTAGGCAGTTAATGTTATTAGTTAAATTTTTTCTACTGTAAGAAATTTTTTTTTTTTATTTGGTTAAATTACACTTTAATTGTTAGAATTTTTTTTGAAAGAAATTAATAATTTTATTCAGCAAGTTAACCCTTGTTCAAAAGTGACTATAAAGACATTTACAATGTTACAAAAGATTTATATTTCAAATAAACACTGTTCTTTTGAACTTTCATGCGACACTGAAGATTGGAATAATGGCTGCTGAAAATTCAGTTTTGCATCACAGGAATAAATTAAATTTTAAAATATATTCAAATAGAAAAGAGTTGTTTTAAATTGTAGTAATATTTCACAATAATGCATTTTTTTCTGTATTTTTGATCAAATAAATGCAGCCAAAGAGAGCTCTTTCAAAAACATTTAATTTTTCTTTCTTAAATGTTCTCTCTTAATATCTCATAATTTCTCTCTGTAGGATTTGTTTTTTAAATTTTCTTGGAATAACTTCCTACACATCCAAGTGGAGCATTGTGTCTCTGCCATCCTTAACCAGCCGACAACAGATGGGAAAACACACAACAGTCCAGATCAGATTCAGCTGGAAACAAAAGACACACAAAACTCAGACAAATCTGACACAAAGTTCACACACTGTGACCTGATAAAGCATGTAAGTATGACCCTCACTTATTAATAATATTGCATTATTTTTA